CAGCAGCCAAGATCTACCAGCCTGAGAAAGAGTGCCCAGATAAATCCTCTTGGTCCTAAGTCCTTGGTCCACTAGTTTTTATTGGAGAATAATGGTTTTATTACTTTGGAAGACAGGTAAGAATACGTGATGAAGAATATGAGCAATAACGTATGTGATGGGCTTAAGTCTGATTTATATTACTCAAGAGAGATAAGCGATAGAAGAATTCTCTTTATTCTCCTCAGATTTGTATTAAGTTAAGCAACTTCTACCAGAGTCTTCATTTTTCTGTCAAAAGTTTGGTGTCTGTCTTATTAACAGTCCAAGTGAAATCTAAAAGTTGACAGCAAAACTCTACAATTTTAGTGAGACTGAACAATACTCAGAGCCTCTGTAAAGTTACCTTTATCATCATTCACAAAGAACCTTTATTTTGGCCTGAAAAGCTGTAATTGCTGAGGACAGTAAGAATAAAGCTAATTTACGACGTAGAGCTAGCAGTTCCATGCAACTCTTTGGTATTTGTGAAATCTCACTTTCATATCTGCACCACATTTCTAGTTTAAAAGACAGCAGTCCAGATCTGAAGTGATCATATTCAGAATTCCCTGCCTGGAAATGAGATCACATCTCATCCTCCAAAGATCGTTCAATAGCAAATGATCAGTCTTTCCTTATGGTGCTCAAGTATAATGCGGTTCAAGAAGTGCTCATAATCCCTTTGAGAAAGTAGGACTGTACCAGAAGTTGATAAAACAGTAGCACTGTTTTTGCCAATGAAGTGAAACAACCTACTTTGTCATGGAGGGTAAAGACGAATTTAAACTCCCTATACAATCTAACAGGCTGATTACTGTGAGGACAAATGTAATCCTACATGTGCTGTTGCAGAGTATAACCCAATATTTTTACTACATTATCTATATTATAGAATTGGGAAATACAAACTTGTAAAAACTTCTCCCTTTGATTATTTCTTGTTCCTATTAATTAGACTGAGTTCAGAAATATTTTCCTTTAAGATATATGAAAACGAAAAAATCTCAGATCTGTCAGGAAGTGCCATGATAGCTACTAAGACAGTTCTCAAAGACCAAAGAAATAAATTCAGCGAACACAGAAGGGTAGTATTAAGAAAGGGAGGAGAATCCATATTTTAGGAGATGCATGAAATCAGTTATATTTTATGTGTATATATAAAGCCAGGAAAAAAAAGACTTAAGTTTGTGGAGTCACAGGGGAAGTCTACTGATTGAATGATTTATACTTGATTTTTCTCCAGTTAAAAATCTACCTAGCAGGAATTTTGAACAAAGACATTTAGTTGGGTAACTATCATAAGATCTGAATAAATAAAATACATGAAACACTCTGTATAGTTCCATATATTAAGAACCATCTTTTATCTAAGCATTCAGGCAGGAAATCTATTATGCTAACAATGTATTGTATTGGTGCTGTTTTTTCCTTTGATGAACTCAACAGCAAACAAAATTATTTTCTCTCTTAAAAATGTGTGACCACAACCACCAGAATAATTTCAAATGTGCTGCACAGTGTGTCAGAGCACCTGTTGGCCCAGGAGAATTTGACTCTTTTTTTTTTTTTTTCTTCAATACGTAAGAAGGATCTGTTGCACTAATTTTAAATACAGTATCTATATCAGACTTGGCATCCCAGTTATTTCAAATATCATAGAACTCCACACAATATGTGCTACTCTGACTATGCATATTAATTTCTATAGTATAGTTTCATTAGTATCTAGCTACAGCAAGAAGAAACTCATGGTGGGGATGGAAGGGCTATAGTATGGAGCTGAGTACGCATGCAAGAAGTATGTCAAAATTCATGTGAAATAACTTTGTTTCCAATAGGCTGACTCACATTTGTGAAACAAAATCTTTGTGTTGCTTACTTTAAAAATATGATTTTGCTTGCTCTAAGGTCTGAGCAATGTTAAACAAATCCTTCAAAGTTCTATCCTAGTTAATCTCCATTATAGGAAATTTTGCTAGAGTATCTCAATTCGCCTTATGACTATCTTGGATAATTTATCTTGAATATTCGGAAAAAATCTTGTATTTGATGAGAACTGCTCTTCAGGAACAGAATACAGACTCATGATTCTCAGAATTTCAGAATGACACTGAAAGATTTTAAAGAAAATCGGACCAAAAGCCACTATGATAATCTCAACTTTAGCAAGGATTTTGTGTTATCTCATCTACTCACTATTTCAAAAATATCTTTATTCTTTTTGATTTTAGTGAACAACGAGAAATGAAAATTGAGATTCACTCTTTTTTTTACTGTTTTATTAACTGTTTTTCTATTTGTGTTATTTCTGAGAAATCCATGTTCTTAAGTATGTTCTTTTTCCTCTGTTATTTTAAGGTGTATCTATACCTATCATTACAGAAGAGAAACGATTTGTTGTTTGCTAAGGACTTTGCTGAATATATTCTGTGGTCAATTGTCATTTCTGTCTTTGAGTTACAATACAATGACATTTGAAATCCTTTTTGAAAACTATTTTAAAAACTGTTATAAAAGCATAGACCATGTTATGGGTTTGAAACAAAATACATGTTTCAATTTCTTTATGAATATGAAAAAAATCGATCAATTTAACTAATTCTGTGACCATTATCACTGCTTGCACTTATAGTATGAATTGGTTTCTAAATAGCTTATATAATTTGCTTCATTATATAATCTTTTTGCTTCATTATTTAATATTTTTCCCACATTACATGAAGGATAGTTTTAAAATAGTGAAATATATATAATTTTTAGAGATCTGATATGAACAGCAGTTAAGAAGGAAAGAGTTCTCTGTTAATGCTTCTGCTGTTCAGTTACACACTGAAATGTTTAGATAGTAGTTTAGATTGAGTTTTTATTTTTTCAGTGAATACTGCAATTCTGATTTTGATTAAACCTGCGATGGCAAACTGTTGTTCTCTATTTCTTGTATTTTATCACCTCGGGTACTTACACAGAGGCTTAAGTGCATGCTTAATTTCAAGCAAACCATGTGCAACAGGATCCTGCTCCTCTGAAGTCCCTGGAGTCTTGCTGTTCACTTCAATACTGCTGTAGCAGGCCAAATATGCCTTCATCTTGCATGTTCCATGCCAACAGTATTATGAATTTGTTGCAATGACGCTATGACTCAGGTGCTTGTGAGATGCAACGAACTGAAAACATCTGTCAGTAACACTTCCCTATTAATAATATCTTAGAATTATTTCAGATTATTGGTTGTTTAAATACTGCATCCACTGGGGCTCAAATAAATGCCAGTGCAAAAGAGAATACAAACCAAATGTGAGTCTCCTTTGTGGAGACTGTACTAAGGAAACAGGACACGTTCACCCAATTCTGGCTTTGTGAATAATTAAATCTCTTCCTGGATACTACTACCTCTTTGAGACATAACTTTTTCCCACATTATATTGAATTGTATAAATTTTACAATTTTTGACATATGCAAGACAATAAGGTTAATGTTGTGAAATGTTTCAGTGAATATTTGTGTTAATTTGTAAGTGAAATGACATCAACTGTATCCACATCCCCTTTGTTCTGCTTTCCAGAAATATTCCAGCAAGCAATAGGTGCTCAGGGGAAATTCCAAGTATCTGTTTGAAATTTATGTTCAGTAGTATTCAGAATGACCAATTTTTTTCAAGAATACAAGTATGCACTCCAAAATCTGATTCTTAGAAATCATCCTCATCCAGGCAAGGGAGAGAAATACGCTACATGACTTGTGTGTCTTCTCAAAGCCAATCAGTACAGATTGGTTTTCAAATGTTGTATTGAATAACTGCCACCCACTTGCTAATGGGCTACCAACAGTTAAAAGTTATTGCCGTACATTATATAATTTTGAATAATTTACTCAGCTCTAGATGTCAGTCTATTACAGAATTTATTTGATAAGTTCAGTTTTTTTTGTTTTTTTTTTTAACTTAATTCTCAGCTTTGAAGAATCAGAACCTTTTTTTAAATTTTGTGACTCACAGGCTTGTGTCACTTGAACTCACAGTGAAGAAACTATGAAAACCTGCAGTAGCTACCATATTCAACGCAGATGGTTTTTTTCACCATAAAATACTTCAGATTATATTAAAATCAGTTTAAGTTGCAGCATTAGTGAACAACCAACATTGTTCGACTCATATCTTAACTTCTTCTGTGCCACACCTGCTTGCTTATAATCATTCATGTAAAAGGCAGGCACATTATTTTACAAACACAGTATCTAAATGGCATGTACAGGATGCCCATAGGGCCAGATTGGGATCTATTTGCTAGATGTACAGTGTACATTTTAAGGCACACTATAGGGATTGAGTTTACATTTTGATAACTCTGTCCTTTATTTGCAAAGATGGTCACTACCTGGAAATGTTGCAAAAATAAATGTTCATCTCTAAGAGTGGCCAACGTATTTATGTTTTCATTTGCTATTTTTCTCAAGAAAGATGCATGAAAATGTGAATTTTAGGGCATTTTAAAAGTTAATGTCAGCTACCATGTTACATTTTATATACATAGATGTTTATATATATATATCTAAATATATAAAATGATTGTAGGAGCTCATACTATAAGCTTAGCTTTAGTACAGTATTTTAAATATACTGGAATTTATTTTCAGTTACACTTCTGCACTGCTTCTTTCTAATGCAGAGCTTAATACAAACATCGGTTGATTATAGCAAACAAAAAATTCAGAAAGAATATTATTGTCTTATCATGCAATGTAGTAGGCATCCTGTGGCACTATTCTCTTGTCCAACCTATTTACAGTACTGCTGAGTACATTTTTTATAAATATTACAGTGTTTGTCTTATTGGATTTTTCATGGCACCCAGCTATTATTGATAATACTAGTCCTGTCACACGTGAGTTTCAATGAATGAATGTGTATGTGTCAGCATTGGTGCTGAGGTTGCAAGTTCAGAGGCTCCATTTTGAGATTCCAGAGCAGCACTGTACTCACAAATGTCCACGAAAAACTCATAGTTCTTCAGTTTCCAATCTTTAAACTTCTTTGATGTTAAGTTGGGATCATCCAGAAGGCTGTTGATAACTGTGAGGTCCCCTTCCTTCGCCTATGAAATTCCAGAAAGACACAGCTCATGTCAAAATCAAATTTATGCCACATTTTTTGCTTAGGCGTTTTATACCTTCTTTCATTTTAACACAAAGTCCTAGGGAAACTACTACTGACACTAAAAATCTTTTACCGACATTCGGGAACTGTTACAGCTTACACTGTTTGACAGTTCAGTCCTTGGCACTTTCAGCAACATGCCTAAAAAGAGCAGCAAATACTGCTAAATTTCTTTTTTGTTTTTTTAGCCAGAACATATCTAATTTTCAGTATTGTTAGTTTCTTTGGAACTTAATTCTTAGCTACAAATAGAGTCCCATCCGCGGAAGCCATTAAGATAGTATACTTCTGTAAGTTCACATCGTTCGTATACAAAACTAATAATAAAGCCTTACTTTTAAAGTGCTCTTGAGAACTCTGATGTGGTGAAGCTTTTCATTGATAACTGGATCGTTACATCTCTTCACAAAAGACTTGCGGAACTCCTGCTTGGTGGAAGGACGCTGTTCTCCAAAAGCTGACAAGCTAGCTTGTTCCAGAGACTTGTACAGCTCTTGCAGACCATCTATATTCTCTCCAATTTCATTTTTGTTTTCTGAAAGAAAATAAATAATAAATAACCCAATAACAAATCCAGCAATTCAGACTGAATAAGATGAAGTCTCTAAAAACATCAAGGAATACTGCAAATTAGTATACAGAATAACACAGTCTTCCGATTTTCAATTTGATAAAACAAGAACAGTCTGATCAGCAGCAAAGTTGTATTTTTAGCATTACATCCAGGCATTTTAAATACAAATTCCAAATTCCAGTACAGTGACTGATGCACCTGCCAAAATATAACAGTTTAATCACGGAAGCCTTGCTGAGAATTACGGTATTATTACTATAGCTTTCCAAGGCAGTAAAGTGGGTCACAGTCTCTCCAAAAGCTTACCTTCTGTACAGAAACTATTATGCCTTCTAATAAGAACTTTCTCTTCTGGATTTTCTTCCGTTATTTCCACAGACTTTACACGCCCCTTAACCCTGACATCTCTATTTCGTGGAAGGCTTTGACTACGTTGCTTCTGTGGCCTATGAGAACTATGTCCTCTTTGACATTCCACCAAAGGGAAAGGCCCATCCTGTTCATGATTATGACGTCTTTGAACCGGTAATGTTGCTTGTCTCCGTTTCTCTGGTGACATTCCAGGCCGCCCACTCATGTATTCTGCATCAGGAGGAACAGTTTGAAGAAAGTGGAGCCCTGAACTGGTTAATGGGGTCTCTATCAGATCCTGCCATGAGCGTCTTTCTCGGTAGGCAGGTCTGCATCCGGAGGAATGCGTGCTTCCTGCTGCATCTTGTCGAGAATCCTCAGCAGAAGAATGAGAATATGTTGATTCACTTGAAAAGTGCCGACCGTGTTTGGGTTCAGGGAAGGGACTTGAAGAATTCACCTGAAAAGAAACAAAAGCATCCAATTATAAGACATCACTTTGAACAGACCCAAGAAACTCACTGTATGTGTAGAACACTCTATGATATATACTAATAAAATGGACTGATATGTGTGTTTTGATATGTCAATAAACCTCTTTTAAACAAAAGATGACTATTAGTGCGATCTTCTAAGAGCTATGTTTCAACCGCTCCCTATTCTCGTTTTGCACATTCTCTGCCCATGAGCAACTCCTGCTGGAAACAGTGCTGGGAACACTGGCACAGGTTTTCTAAAGACCTGTCCAGCTTATACTCAGTCCAGCAGCGTGTTGTGAAGACATGAGAGCCCCAAAAGAAACCAGAAATAGATTTCCTTTCTTTTTAAGGAGATAAATATTTCAGCTGAACAGGAAAGAAATATGTCAGCGTCCAGAAAGATTTTTGAATTTTGGGGGACAGCTGAACTTACCAAATCATTTTAATTAAATTCTGCTGGGTCTGTGTATCTTTTTAATTCAAAAAGAAAGAGAAAGGCAAAAAAAGTGGAAAAACAGAAAGGGAGGGTCTTAACCTGTATCCCAGTTGATAAAACAGCATCACATGGGTGAAAATCAGTCTGAACTTCACCCATGTGATGCTGTTGTCTCAGTCACTCTTTGGTTCTGGCTGTGTGAGGATCATGCCATTGATGCTGAAGAAAAATCTGAAAGAAAAATAGAGAACAGTCCTACCTATGCTTAGAAACATAGATTAATTATCACGGTCTGTGTTCTGTATATTAGAAATGTTCCTATCTGCTACCAGAACCTGTTCATATACAAAACAGTGTTATTTTTTTTCCCCCAGTTAATCAAAGGCTGCCCATACACAATATACCTGAAGTGTTTTTATCAGCTACTTAACATCTTATGACACTGTTATAGAAAATACTGTAACTACAATTTTATTTTATACAAAGCTTCATTTTGTAAAAAACTTGCCTCTGAACAGATGTTCTTAAAAAAGAATGTTCATACTAAAACATGATTATTGTGTGAATATGATCTGATCTTAATTTCCAGTATTCAATATTCATACTTGAAATACAGTCCCAGTTCCTACAAACTACCCTGTTCACCACTTCCTTTTCATATTCTGCAGTGAAGTCAACATTTGAATACTCTCTCTGCATTGGGTGTAGTTTTCCAGTTCCTACAAAAAACTGTAATAGTTACACTCTGGTGAGTTAGCTGTGTAAGGAAGCATTTGCCTCTCCTGTCTTTGCAATGGCTTATTTTGGAAACACTTGGTTCTTACTTTGTGAGAAACGGCAGCATAATGGCTTATTTTGGAAACACTTGGTTCTTACTTTGTGAGAAACGGCAGCACTTCATTCCTACAGTGATATACATCTCTGTTCTGCCTTTATAGTACTTAAGTATTCCAAAACAAGAAAAATGCAAATCAAGGCACACACAAATCTGTTGGTGACCTGGTATCAAACATAGTATTTCTGACTCACTGAGGGTGTTCGATGGTAGGTGTCACACAGTGTTGAAGAGCCTTCCTGCTTCAGCGTTAGACAGCCATCAACATCATCCTGGTCGCTTTCACTCCAGTAATCTGCTAACGAAGAATTCCAGCTTTCACCGGCAGGTTTACTCACAAGAAAGCCTATGCACCATTTTCAAAATATCATTAGCATGCAAAGATAACCATTTCACAGTCACCTAGTTGGCTTGGCAGTCACTAAGGAACAGACTCCGAAAATATCTGGTACCTAAAGATACACGGATACATAGAAGACCCTTCAAATATTTTACGACAGTGTCACAGAAATCAGGTTAGGCACCTAACTCCCACTGTATGTAACAATTGGTTCTGGTCAAAGACTTTCAAAGGAAATTTTTCTTGCAAACGCCAAAGTAGAGCTGGGTTTAACATTTAGTTCAACTGTCATCAGATAACACGTTCCACCACCATGGATAGTGGAGAAAAACTCTGTTACCTGAGATCAGAAGATGCTGAGCTCAGTGACTGTGACATCTTGAATTACTCTAAGGTGATGAGCAAATCTGATGGCTCTCATTTGGGAGATCATACCTCAGTCTTAACTTAACATTCTGTTTATCATTTGTGTTAAATGTTTCTTCAAATTATTATTCTGGATTTCATTTTCTCTGCTGATGGCCCTATTAAATATAGTTCTTAAAGGATGTGCATTCTCATGAAAATTGATGTTTTAAAAGATATGGCACATATGTTAATAAAGTCAGTTATGATACGTCCAACTCTGTTCAAATAATGAACGGATGAGTACTCTCTTGCTCTCCTCTCCTAATTATAATTTCAGAAGTGTTACCTTCATCTGGATGAATGTCCTTGTCATCAGGTGTGTAACCAATTGCTGCAAGGCCCAAACGATTCATCCACCTAACAGAGTAATAAACAGATGAGGAAGAGGGAAACTTAAAAGGAACATATAATATAAACGTGAAGACATACAAATTCTTAAAGTATGGGAAAGTCAGAGTGAATGGTTGATCCAAAAAACTGAGCACTGTTTACGCTGTGAAAATCAGGATTCACATGTACTCAGTGGTTAATAATTTCAATTAAGTGAAGGATGTTCCGGTTTACATACAGTCCAAATGTGGACTCCAATCCACACCTCCTGGAGCATGTTTGCATAGTGAACTATCAGACTCCCTGCATTTTATTCTGCTGCCTAAAAAATGAAGAATCACGGTATCAATCGTTCTTACATCACAAGAAAAACGTGAAGCATACAAGCTGACATGTTAATTTTAGCAATGATTTGATGTGGGATTTTTAGCAGAATATGCTGCGTAGAACAAAACTCTCAACTCTGTCTCCACCTTAAATAGAATCAAAGCCTCTCTAAGCTGCATGTACAAATTGTTTGCGTGGAATGACTTCCAGAGACTTTGAGGAAAGGAGCGTATTGCATTTATTCTGACTGCCATGTCTATTAATTTCAAGGCCTTTCCTGAAAATATTAGTAAAATGCTATAAAAATAAATACAATGATGATCATAATTGTATGAAAACCTGTATTAGGAAATAAATTTCTCAATATACTCAAAGGTAGAATGGACTATGACAGTATATCACTGATTTAGTTAGTCTAGATTTATGATAAAGGTATTATAAATTTTAATGTTTGTAGATATGGGATTTCAACATTCTTATTATTTGTTTTTTTAATACAAAATCTTAGGTTTCTAAAACAAGACTTTGTAAATTGAAAGTGCTTCAATATTTGCATTTCACATCAAATGTTCTAGTTGTTTACTTTGTTCTAACATAAATTTGTTCCAAAATAAGATTCTTTATTTCATTAGCAGAATACTGTAGCTTATTTTGGGGAAAGTTCCATTGGAGTTTTTCTTAAGATTACTGGCTTCTTATACAATATATAATTGAAAAATAGGAAAAAAAAACCCAAATGAACAGATTGAAAGTAAAGTCACTTTCTAAAAATAATAATCAGCAAATGGAAATTTATCAAGAACCAGCTGATTTTCATCAACAAAGAAACGTAACTAAAGAAAATAGCCATATTAATGGAAATCTCTAATGACTGGGATATATTCTTAGCTATTCCCTTACTCAGTGACCCAACAGTTATTTACGATGTCAGTAACTTCCTAGTACAATGAATGTGTTCTCTAGAAGCAGCTATTTCCTTTTTCACACTGCAACATAAAATTAACAATTTTATTCTTGGCTGATGAATTATATCATGACAAAAACACCTTTTAAAGACTTCTCACAGGAGACATTAATAAACAATACATACTGTACCATAAAGATAATTTTTGTGCAGATTAAAACAAGTAAATTAATCAGTGTAATTCTTTCCTACTTTTACTAGAACAAAATAAGCTTCAAAGGACCTATGTGACTATATTATTTGTCAAATTGCACAGTACATGAAAGATGGTATATACTGCAAAGAAGCAGAAAATGAAAAGTCAACTCTTTGCTAAGAATAGATACAGCTCAGCATGTACTGATCTAATGCTCTGAGCAACGTTCTGCAGTTCTCAGAGCAACAATCTGCTGTAATATTGGATCTAACACTGACTCATTGTATGGCCTTCAGCAAACCACCCTATCAATGTAGGGTGGTTTAGGATACTTACTTTCTTAAGTATCCAAGGGGGAAAATAACATATTTACTTCCTACTCCTATAGAGTTATTACAAGAATTAGCTTCCTTGCAAAACTATAAAAACGTGAAAAATAGTACAACAATATTCCTTTGCCTTTCAGTATTAAAAAAGAAGTAATCAAATAAAATAATATAAAAATGTCAATGGTTGTTAGTTTTCACAAATATCAACTGCAGGGTTAGAACTGCCTATAGACAGAGACATTGTTCGTACCAACATGGCAATTACTAATCTTACTATAGTGAAGGAAGTAAATTTGAAATGGATTCACAGCTTATTTTCTACAGTGCCCTGCCCCGTAATTTCATTCAATAAAGGGCATGCTGATCACTTGAGTGACATTTGCTTCTCTTGAAAAGCATGTTATTTACTGCAGTAATTGAAATGACACTACCCTTACTCATTAAGCATTTATATTCGCTATTTTTTAAACTATTTTTTCAGTAACTGTTGAACAAGCTACTTTCAAAGCTATTTTAAAAAGCCTTTTTTTTAATAAAGAAAGCTACTTCCATTTTTATTAAGAAAACACACAGTCAAACTTATGAAAAAGTTTACCATGTTGACACTATTTCCCTGGAAAGCTTGGCATCTCAGTCATTTGGTTCTGAACTCCATGTTGCATGCCTTGTAGGCAAATGTCAAGTTCAGGAAGGCAAAGGGAATGTGTGCCAGAATTAGAATCTTTTCAGGGGTAGATGGCTGCATGTTTAATCAAAGATCAGGCAGGGTAAGACCATATGCTAACCCTGTCAAGCAGCTATAGTGAAAAAACAGGGGATAATTTGTCTCTTCTGTTTTATACCGCTGTTCTTCTCATAGCACTTTGAATTCCATGTGATCACAAGGAGACACGACATATCCTGGCAGATACAGGTATACCAGTCTTACATGTATATCCCGGCTCCCTCACTCCTCTTCCACCACAAACCCTAGCTTTTTTTTCCTTTGATAAATTTTCATTCTCCAAGGTACGTAAAGAACAACTTACACTGTACACATTTCATGCTAGGTACTACTCTGTGCTTGAGTGGGTTTGAGTCCAGGCCACACAACAAATCACCAGGTTTGCACTCTACATAGGATTAGCTATTAGTATCCCAAGGATACTTTGCTACATCTTATCTTCAGTATTGTACTCATCTCCATAAGGTATTTATCCGTCTTCCTGAGGTAAAGTGTAGCAACTTATAAGTGACCAAAATAACATTTTTATTACTATTACTGCTTTTAATTTAGAGAACCACATGCAAAAAACGGAAAGGCTCAAGTAAAAGGATGTAAGCATGCAAGTAAATTCTGTACTTTGTCTTAATGTGTTTAGATCTAAATATATCAGATCATGCTTTAATTAATTCTGTTGATTACGAACAGACACCATTGTCATTGCTCTTGGATAAAACAGAGCTACATGGTAGGACGTTAAGTTAAATTTACTGAGATAATTCTGGTTAGTACCAGGGAACTCCAGCCCCAAGGACTGTTCTGAGAGCCTGATTCCACCTCAAGGCCTGGAAAGGGATGCTTACAAATAGACTGAGGGCAGTCATGAACTAAGTAGCTATGACAATAATCAAAACTTGATACTGAAGAGTGAGTCATGCCTGAAATGCCCTGAATTGTCTCCTCAAGCCAGGAGTCAGGAGTAAATTCTGTTACCGATCATTTAATGAAAACATTGGAGAAACGTTAAAATGGACCAAACAGCTAGGAAACATTTTCATATAGCTTTACAGTCCTAACACACTGCGTTAAAAACAAAAATATGCCATTACTTATTATACAAATGCAGTAAGTATCTATCTGCTGACCAATATAATGTACTCAGGCTGAGAGTGGTGATAAGCCAATCTAAGGTCTTTGTTAGGTTTTGGGACTGAAGGCAACTATACTTTCCTTATCAATCCTTCACCTTCACAAGGGTCTACCTGAAGACAGAAGCAATGCATGAATGAACGTACGTTTTTATCAATGGTGTTAGAGGAATTTTCATTTCCTTGATTTGGGATCACATCTCTTAAGGAAGATGATGCTGCTTAAGCAAAAAGAAGAGGAGAAGCAAAACAGAACACCAACTACCTAAACTAGTTAGAACGTTAGATTTAAAGACATTGGTAAAAAAAAAAAAAAAAAAAAAGTCAAGAAAAAAATAATGACCATGGCAAATGGCTGAAATCCTAGAAAATAAAAACTTGTATTAAAAAAATTGATATTGGAAAGATATGGGAGAAACACTAAGGTATGGAACATATTTAGAATTGGAGGAATACAGAGGAAAGTGTACAAAAAAAAGAACTAAGAGTTAATTTATACCATCAAAATGCTTTGATGCAGCAGGGAGGAAAAATAAATGCTTCATTAGATATGTATTTCTTCTGAGGCTTGAAAAAGCAGTATGACTGGAAGGGGAAGAAAAAAGGCACACAGAACAGAAAAAAATTTGATTAGGCCAGAAAAGGATCTACGATGATTATGGGAGCAGAGTCTTACAACGAACCAAAACATGAGTGAGCTAACAAGATGATGCAGTTGTACAAAATGTTAATGTCTGTTTTTAGGATAAAAAGGTAATTATTCCTCTGTTTTTGAGGCTGATCTGGCAATATAGAGTAACCGGTCAAGTTTTGGGCATCACACTTTTTATCCAATTTGCTTATTTCTTTCAAACAGTTCAAAGTAAAACCACACAAGTGAAAGAATCATTTGGAAAAATCTGAGCTATAATCAATTGGAGAGAACTATTGTTTAGTGCAGGAGAAAGAAAAATTGAAGAAAAGAAGATAACAGTTTTTTTCAAAAAACGGGTACAAGGTTGTTATTATTAGGGTTAGGATTAAAAACGTTCCATAAATCCATGAAGAATAGGTCAGGAAGTAGTAAATTGCTGAGATTCAAATGAGTTTTATTTGCTGATATCCTCAATACTGAATAAACTTGTTTCCTATACAAGATAGCATTCTTCTATATGTAGAAGAAACTATTTAATTCAGATGAATAAAATAAATAATGGCTATATCCTGAAAGAGGGTAAACTCAAGATGTAAACTCAAGGAGTCTGTCCACTATAACCATTTTTCAGTTGGATGTTCCTTAAAAATGAAACACAGCAGTATTACTTCAGCTATTACATGATCCAACCCCAAGGTGCACTCCATACATCTCTCTCTAGTCTTCAAAACATCTATTCTGTCTTCCTATTTTGATCCCCTAACCATTCTGCTCCCTTCACCAAGT